GGAGGTAAAAACTGAACCATTCGCTAGGAACGTTAGAATGTTAGGAATGTTAGAATATCGACCTTGTGTTGAAACTCATAGTCTGAAGGAAAACGGGAAGGACAACAATTCCCAATCGAAACGTCATTTTAAGCAAGTGACTCACCACTAGAAGGTAGTCTACATATTCCAAACGAATAGATTTTAAACAATCTCGTTCTTGTTGTTTTCCAGAACTGGAGATACTTCCATCTGATGTGTCGTCTAATCCAGGTTGGAGAAGCCAACTATTGAGCATAGGCACTGGAGATGAAACGAAACCAACCACCTGAGTTTGAGCAATTAGTTCTCGGCGTCGAACACTGGCTTCCGATGCCGAGGAATCTTCTGTCTCGTTGCTGCCTGATCTATCGGCGTTTCGTACCGAAGGGTTTGCGCCAGAGTCAGCATCAGAACGCCGTAGCGAGGATCGATGTTCCAGTGATAAAACCCGATTACGTTTCAGACCCAGCGCTAAGGTAGCCATTGTGTCCAAGCAGACCAGTTTGGAAGATAAATCCGACGTTCGTGAGTTAGTACTGCTAGTGTTGGTGCTGGAACTACTGTTCTGACTGAGATGTTGAATGAGTAAACTTCCCAGAACGCAAAGCAAAGTAGGAGCCACAGGCCACTCAACAGGTGCTGACGTAGCTATGGTTAGCAGATCGCATGTGACTGTATCCAACACGGGCCGCAAATCCAATTCGGTACGGGTGCAAACCCTGCATGAAGCAATGGAATGAATGTGATTTAATGAAGCGAAGAATGAAAGTTAAAAATGTTGCAACTCTGAAAACAGACTCAACCAAAACCAGCTTACCGTTTGAGTAATCCAGACAAGAGGTGATGTGCNTGTGCATGTCGTACACAAGTATTATAGCTCGCCAATACTTGCTTTTCGTCTTTGAGGAATTGGCTGTTATCTAGACTGTTCTGTTCCCCGGATCCAGGTGTGGAAACACTCTTACGTGAGACACCGCTGGGGCCACCATTAGTGGACGATGACGTACTTGACCCAGGTGACTGGACCAAGCCTTGGGTAAGAGATAAAAACAAAGCAGTAAGCGCATGGACGTGAATGAATTGAGAATGAAGCTCGGAAGAGTCCTCGGCATTTGAATCCGTGGCATGCGGTGTCGTTTCTGCGACAGTCGAGGTGCGGGNGTGGTATGTTTGTACCGCTTGTAAAGCCAATGAGACGATAAAAAGCTAAAAGAGAAAATGGAGCGGCAAAGAGTTAGCAAGCAAAAAATAAGAGCAACTACAACTGGTGTTAGACATCATATTAAAAGACCCAATCATTTTACCGGCTACCGATGCCGAAGAAAAAGCTCTTCTGGAAGTGGGATGTCACACGAAATCAGATGAAAGCCGGGAACCGAGCGAAAGTATTGGCATGGAACGATACAATCCATCGCTCCTAAGATTCACAGTTATTACAGTTACGTTTGTCCAAACACGAAAACCGGTTATTCATCATTTTTTGAATGGGCAACCGCAGAAAAGATGTGCGAATTCCATCACAAACTAACTCTGCTATTATTGAGTGTATACTTGACGGATATAGAACAACTGTCAAAATGAGTTATAGTCGTGCCAAAAAGAAAGAGACCCATTTGCAACTCAGTTCCATCGGACAGAAAATAAAGATCAGTTCAATTCCGTTTTAACAACCATTACCCATGCACTTTCATGCACCGGTTTTGGTTGCTGTCTTTTGGCTGCCCATTTAGATTTAGGCGCAGAAGGAAGATGAGAAGGTTGAAAACAGTACCGAAGAGAATTCCGGTAGACTAAGGTCGCAAAGAAATTGCGAAGATGCACGAGTGATGCTGTTCACGACACAGCCATATTTTTGTCTCTAACCATCGATTGCGATGATCCCGAGATTCTCATCCAGGGAACCGAACACGATTAATATGACCGGTCGGGGTTTTCATAGAGTCGCTTCTTGTGCGAGCCTTTGATGACTCACTCATATGCGGTTAACTATTAGACTGACTCGTAAGATCGAAAACCAAGTGTTAGATAAGTAGTTCGGTATTCCAAACTGTAGTACTCTTACATTCGTACACTTTCCCTAGGCATCAATAATTGAATTCAATACCGCTACCTTAAAAAACTCTGAACCTTTGGATTACCTTTATTGTATTTGTAGACAAGAATGATTACCAGACGACAGGAAGGAAGAACGAAACACGGTCTTCAGTCGCGCAAATGGAGTGCTAATTTCGTTTCAGGATGGCCCTGCATACCCGAGGTTAAATTAAGATACGCTAGCAGTGGCCATATTATGGTCACACTTTGTCGGATTTGACTGGTTGCGAAAATGTACACATTTTGTTCTCCACGTGGGTTAATTCGGATGAAAATATTTATCAGCCATCGGGCTCTACTAACGCTGTTGAGAAGGTCCAACGGATATCAAATTTGTGTGCATCAAGGGTTGATCATCACACTTCTTTTCCCAGTCCTGCCACAACACAAGAACAAGGCACGATGCAGAAGCTGATGAGCGGCAAGTGTAGCACATGACGAATTCACAAAAGATAGTGGGGTGCAAACATTTTAGCAATTTATTCCATTACACACCCTTATGTGATGAACAGTGAGGGAGGTGAATTCCACAATCACAAGGACTTGCTGATCACTAAAGGAAATCGGCGACTGAAACCCGGGGCTTGAGGTAGTGAACCACATAAGACCCCACTAGCATAGGCATGGTATTGATCCGAACGACNACATTTCTGAGCTACAATTGTCGACTTATTTTCACTACTAAATATACAATGGAAACAGTGGCCTTCGCGTGTCCTTGAGGAGAATAAATCAATAAACAATACAAAGGCTAATGAAAACACATCTATAAAATATAGGTTGAGTGTAGTGGCAGCCCTGTAGATTTTTCAGGGTAATCAAGACCAAACGGGACATCACAATGGTCTTTGTCATATAGAGTAAAGATGAATTCGACATACGGTAAAACACCACTCGAATACTTATGCCGTCGTCAAAAAGTCATCCAACGCGATCAACCGATCATCAA